CTATAATCCCTTCAAACTTGCCTATTCACGTACTTATCCAAATGTCTTTTAAATATTATAACTCTACCTGCATCCACCATTTCCTCTGGCCATTCCACACACAAACCACTCTCCTTGTAAAAATGCTGCTCCTCATGTCTTTAAAACTTTCTCCTCTCACCTTAAAAATATGCCTCTGAGTTTTGAATTACTCCACCCTCAGGAAATGACCCTCGCTATTCACCTTACCTATGCCTCTCACGATTTTATAAACCTCTATAACATCACCCATCAACCTCCTACACTCACGTGAAAAAAGTCCCAGCCTAGCCAGCCTTTTTTTAATCAGTCAAACCCTCCATTTCTGGCAACATCCTGGTAAATCTTTCCTAAACCCCCTCCGATTGCATAATATCTTTCCTATAGGAGGATGACCAGAACTGTACACTGTACACCAGAATAGGCCTTACCAACATCCTGCAAAACCTCAACATGATGTCCCAACTCCTATAATCAAAGATCTGAGCAATGAAGGCAAGCATGCTAAATGCTTTCTTAGCTACCCTGTCTACCCGTGATTCAAATTTCAAAGAATGATATACCTGCACTCCTAGGTCTCTCTGTTCTGCAATACTACTCAGGGCCCTACCATTAATTGTATAAGTCCTGCCATTGTTTGTTTTACCAAAATGTAACACCTCACATTTATCCAAATTAAACTCCATCTTCCACTCCTCAGCCCAAGACTCAATTGATCAAGATCTCTTTGTAATCTTAAATAACTTTCTTCACTGTCCACAATACCACCAATTTTGGTGCCATTCACAAACTTACTAACTATGCTTCCCATATTCTTATCCAAATTGCTTATATAAATGACAAACAAAAGTGTTAATTCCCAGGGACTTGAAATAAAACCTGACAGTGTTTCCTTATTCCATCCATCGGCCACATCCATTGGACTGGCCCAAACTGAGATCTGTCAGTGACATTAGGTGAATGGTCGCACACGAGAGTGAGTCTTCCTCATCACAATTTTGCAAATGTTGAATTCAAAGTTTCCAGAAGACTTCAAAGCAATTAGATTTTTGTTTTCTTTTCACCTCGCACTAGCTTAGTTTTGTTGATATTAATGAGGATGGCTACATTTTCTAACATCTCTCAACAAAATGAAATGATACACAGCCCTCTCGCATTGAAGGAAGTGAAGCTGGCCTGTTAAGTTAAATGAGAGAGCGAGAGAGAGAGGATGCTATTTTGAGCTATTCTCTCCAACATTTTTTTTGCTTTAAAGAAAAGAAAGCCTGTTTTGCAGGAGAATCACTATTGTGGAGGAAGAACACCTTCAAAGGTCAGTCTACTGCTGTAGCTGAGGTCAGGGAGAACCTCCAAGTCTATCTACAGCACTGCATCCACACCTTCATTTCAGTCTGTTTCCAAGAGGCCACTTCTGGACAGCTGACATGTTCTCAGATGCTTCCTGAGACTGACCTGCAGGTAAAACTCAAAATTGCATTTGTTCTTCTACATTTGGCCTTAAATAACCATTAAGAGGGTCAACTGGTTTCCTGTTGCTTGCAGGTGGGTAGCTCTGCCACTTCCATTCCTGACCTTCTCCATTCCCTCCCCATCCTCTCCAACACCTTCTCCAGAAACATGGCCTGGAGGGGAAACTGATTCGTGACATAATATATTACAAGAAGCTGCCAATGTACGATTAACAAAAGAACACAAACATTTATTACGCAAAACAAAACAAAAACAACAAACTGTATATCACTAAACAAGAACAAGTGGAACGATCCCATTGCAAAGATCAGAAAAAAGGATTCATCCCTTTTATCTTAGCAATACCTTTACAGACATTTATAGAATCATAGTCATAGAATTGAACAGCACAGAAACAGGCCCTTCAGTCCAACTCGTCCATACTGACCAGATATCCTAAATTAATCTAGTCCAATTTGCCAGCATTTGGCCCATATCCCTCTAAACCCTTCCTATTCATATATCCATCCAAATGCCTTTTAAATGTTGTGATTCTACCACCTTCCACCACTTCTTCTGGCAGCTTATTCCATACACGTACCACACTTTGTGTAAAAAAGTTGCCCCTTAGGTCTCTTTTAAATCTTTCCCCCCTCACCTTAAATCTATGCCTACGAGTTTCGGACTCCCCTGGGAATAAAAAACTTGGCTATTCACCCTTTCCATGCTCCTCATGATTGTATAAACTTCTACAAGGTGACCCTCAGTCTCTGATGCTCCATTCAAACATTAATGAAAGGTTACTTCTATTTCCATTTTAAAAATTCTTCTTCAGCTGTTTTGTGATAATTAGCTTCCTTTCAGCAATTTGCTAATCATTCATAAGATGCCATTTTCTTCAGTAATGAATTTTCCTGAATCTCTTAACATAAACAGCTATCTCAACTTACTTGTTCTTATCATGGGTTCCCTAAACTAATTCCCTAAACAGTCTTGTACGATGTCTTCCTCTCTGACCCTTCCAGAGTCTTCTGCTTCTGTAGCTTTCTTGTCATTCACTTTTAAATACCTCAGAGAGTAGTGAGTCCATGGAATTCTCTGCCGCAAGTAACTGTTGGGGCCAAAACACTGAAAACTGAAGCAGATGTTGATATAGTTCTTGAGGCTAAAAGGCTTAAAAGAAAGAAAGTAGGAATAGGGTTTTCTGAAGAAGGGTCTAGGCCCGAAACGTTAGCTTTCCTGCTCCTCTGATGCTGCTTGGCCTGCTGTGTTCATCCAGCTCTACACCTTGTTATCTCAGATTCTCCAGCATCTGCAGTTCCTACTATCTAGGAATAGGGTACTTAGCTGGATGATCAGCATAATCATATTGAATGGTGGAGCAGGCTCAAAGGATCAAATGGCCCACTCCTATTCCTGTATTCTATGTTTCTGTGCAAACATTTCATCAACTAACTTCACTGGGTATCTGATGAAGGCATTTAACTCAAACCACATGACTTGTTTGAACTGATGTGCTTCATTCACTGGTCCAAATGACTTACTGACTTCTTTTAAAATAAGTAACTTAACAGAACTGAAACCACAAATCTATTTTATCATAAGTGACCATACAAAAATGGTCAGTTTCAGAGTAAAGTGATAAGATATACTATTGCACACAGCTTTTTAAAGTTTCAGAAAGCTTTAATCCTTAGACAATGAGTATTTTAACCTGAATTTGTATGTCAATGGAAAACATGTAACTGGAAATATTAATCTGAAGATGTCAGATGAATCCTTACTGCCTCTGTTCAACTCACATGAGAAGGTTCAAAGTTAATCAGATCCTCAAAATGTTGCTTATTTTTAACTCAAGTTTACTTTATGAAATTACATCAACTTGGCAGCATTTATACCTTTGCGGTACATCACTGAATAACTTTGTCAAAACCTCGTCTCAGTCAGCAACATCAGACACAATTAATTGTCATAAAATTAAACAATAAAAGAGATAAAGTTGCCATAGTCACAGCAGATCATACGGCTACTCTCTCACAAGAGAGAGATGATTGGTGATGGTTAACCTGACTCTCACCACGCCTAAATATTGTCTAAACCTTGTCTGTTTTAAGCAGAACAATCGTCTCGCTGGTTTACCACAAAACTGATGGTGATCATCCCTGCACTTACACTGTTCCTTCCTGATTTTGGCAGGTGTCCATTAAGCTACTTGAGATTTTTAACATGGTAAAAATGGATACAATACACCATTCCAACGATGATAAAACATTTCTCTTCATTTAATTTAAACTTATTACCTGTCAGGTGCTGTAATGGCAATCCTCTTCTAGCTTTGTCTTTGGACATTCTTTCCTCTCTTTATAAATGTCACTGCTCCACTCACTCCTGCTTCTATTCACCTGAGCCTAATTCTAGTCTGTACTTTTTTGATGCTTGTGACATTGTGCTGAGCAACCAAAGCAGCCCTGTTTCTTGGAGAGTATTTCTGGTCTCTTTCTTTGTTTGGTGATTAGGACTGTATTTGTTTGGCTCCAAAAGAATTACAGAATTGAAAGAGGTCTTTCAGCCCATCATGTCCATGCTGTTTTTTTGAAGCCAAAATTCATCTGCCAATCCTCTGTCTTGCATGTTCTTATTTTTCAGACATAATCAAATTCCATCTTGAATAACTTAGTTGAATCTTTCTCCACCACAATCTAAGGTAATGCTTTCCGAATCCTAATCATGTGAAAAACTTTCCTCATGTCGCCATTTCTTCTTTTGCCAAATACCTAAAATCTCTTTCGTTATTGAATATCTAAATACTTTCCCTCTCGATCTTCTCTTCAAGGAGACACAACTTCCCCAATCTGACATCAGAACAAGAACTCTTATAAACAAGAGCTGAAGTAGAAGCCTGATGTGCAGAGATTTGTCCATTCTTTGCCCTGCCCTCACCTACGAATGGATCAATTCTGATGACGTTGTAACAGTCTACTATTACAGCAATTTGATTTTTTGGAAATAAACTGGAAAATACTGGCAGAAACAAAATAACTCGGTTAACAGGTCACAATTGACTTTGAGTCTATGTACAGGACATTAGACAGTTGAAATGCACAAACGTTTCGAATGATAACGCGAATCTTGACGACAGTAGGGATGGAGAACAGGTAACAGTCAAGCAAAACACCCATACACATATCACCACTCCGAGCATCTCAGCAGAGTGGTGCTAAAAGCGAGCAGTCTCAATTTACCACGTTTGTTGCGGATGCTGCAGCCGATACTGTCATATCGGTCCCCGACTGGGATAATGATTATTATGTAGATAGCTGAGCATGCTTAAAGTTTGTAATGCCAATAATTTGGCTTTGTTTCCTTTGTCTGTATTGCACTTAACACTTCAAAGGAAAATACGGAGCTGAAAATATTCAGACTGGGTAGAGGATGAATGTTTAATTGAAGAGTAAGATCTTCAGACACTGTCAACGATTGATCGTTGCCACTAAAAGGAGATGAATCCACAGAAAGCCCAGCACTGACACACAGGTCTCCGCTCCCCGAGAGGACCAGGCCTGGGCAGGGCACGCGGGGCTGCGTCGGACGTCCTGTGCGGCGTGATGACGTAGTTTGTTGTTGTTGGTGCCCTACTCTGTTCCTGACATGGCGGCTCGCTGGAGCAGTGAGAATGTGGTGGTGGAGGTCAGGGACTCGCAGGTAACAACCTTGACCGGCAGCCGGGCCGCTGCCCGGGGCTTGGGGACCGATTTTGGCTCGCGCTGCCGTAGAGTAGTTGCCGGAATCTGCGGATTTGTCTTTGGCGGGGGCCTAAGCAACGTGAGCGCGCCTGCGCAGGACCAACGCGCATACTCCCCTTACTATAATCCTCTTACCTTGAAATAGAAACAGAAAGTGTTGGAGAAACTTCGCAGGCTCGGCACCATGTCTGGAGAGAGAGAAACAATTCATGTTTCGTGTCAAAATGACTCTCCGCCGTCCCCCTCATCGCCACTTAATTTCAAACTGTTCAAATAGTGCCTACTGCACTTCTACTTTGGTTAAGATCTGAAACCTGGCTCATTGAAGCTATTCTTGTTCGCGGTCCATTGATTAAAAATATCTATAAATGTGTTCAGACAAGTTTTGACACATCTCTGGAGCCTGTGGGAATTAGCTTCCGTCTTTTGGCCAATAGTTACGACACTACTACTCCGCCACAGGAGCTCCTACTAACCCTATTAAGTACTGAAGGAAGTTGCCGACTTATGTGTTCCAGTAGGCAACCTCTTGTGCTCATGTTTCCAATGTTGTTTTGTGTCGGGGAGACCAGGAGGATTGATCTGTGACTTCGTTGTGCATACTGTTTGAGAAAATGTTATGGAGTCTGTAGTCTGCAAGCTGTTTCAGTAAGGGGCCAGATAAGGGATGATGCAGAAGATTTAAAAAAAAGTTAATAGGCTTGGAGCACAGATTGGTTATAGCACCAAAAGAGGCCACTTTTGTGCCCATGCCAGCTGCAAGAGCAACTGATCCAGTCCCACTACCTTGCCTTTTTGCTGTAGCCCTGTATTTTTTTTTCTTGGGGGCAATGTACAGTTCTCTTTGAAAGCCATGATGGAATCTGCTTCCAGTGCATTTCAGATCCTAACCACTCGCTGCATAAACTGGTTTTCTTTCAATGAACTTTGGTTTTTCAGCTATTAAAAGCGATGGTGAGTCAGAGAGCAATGAGAGAAAAAAATTGAATATAATGACACCACATGATTTTAAAATTCTCCATCCACTCCTGTCTCAAACTTCTCTTCCTAAAGGTGAAAGAACACAACTTCTCCATCTATCCACAGATCTGAACTTGAACCCTGGAAATATATTTGTACACCATCTGGAATACCTTAATGTCCTTTCTAAAGGGTTACAGTTAAGAAACAATTGAGGTGTCATTACTAGACTAGACATATTCTGTAGGTCACCAACTTGTGGAAAAGATAGAAAGGAGCAGATTTACAAGAGAGGTATAAGAATTAGACAGTTGTTATGATGAGGGACTTGAATTACCTAAATACAAGTTAGGACAGTAGTGTAAAAGGCAGTGAGGGGCAAGAGTTTTAAGTGTTCAGGAACGTTTTGATGAGACTTATGGCTCTGGTCCATGGAGAAAAGAAGCACTGTTCAGCCACATGGTTCTTGGAAATCAAGTAAGCCAAATGGATCAAGTTGGGGAATATTTTGAGGGCAGTGATCATTGTATCACAAGATTTTGGATGGCTATGGAGAAGAACAAGGAAGAAACCAGAGTAAGAATCAATAACCAGAGGAAAAACAATTTTCGTGGGGTGAGAATGGAGCAATGGTTTGTGGACAATCCTGTTACTGAATCAGGGGCTGTCTTTAAAGAAAAGCGAACACCAACAAGGTATATTCTTATGAAGGGGAAAGGTTAAAACAAACAAATCTAAAGCTCCCAGATGAAGGATTAAGAGGAAGAAGAAGTGTGGTCTTGATAAATGTCAGGTGGTTAAAGAATTAACAATCAGGCTGAAATTAGAACGTTTAGAGGAGAAATACAAAAGCAAATCAAAAGTAATCTAAAAGACACAAAGACAGAAGTTGCTGGAAAAGCTCAGCAGGTCTGACAGCATCTGTGAAGAAAAACTTCACAGATGTTGCCAGACTTTTGCTGAACTTTTCCAGCAACTTCTGTTTTTGTTCCTGATTGACAGCATCCACAGTTCTTTTGGTAATCCAAAAGACCTTTAGGCCTATTTATAGGTAGAAGTTTGGTGAAATGAGTGATCAGTTGATTAAGATTTAGAGGGCACTGATTTAATGTAATTAGCAAAAGCAGCAATGGCAAAACAAGGAAAATCTTTTTAATGTGGTTAGGATCTGGAATTCTTCCCTGAAAGTGTAATGGGGTCAGGTTCAATCAAGGCATTCAAGAGGAAAACCGAATACTATCTGAAAAGGATGTACGTGCAGCACTATGGAGAGATGGCTGGGGAGTGGGACAAGCTGAATTCTTCCATCAAACAGCCAACACAGAGGGCTGAATGGTCTTATTAAATCACCATTTTGATTATGGTCGTTGGAGAATCAGGTATTCTCCTGAGAAGATAAGGTTGTGTGGAGATTTGATAGATGTGTTCAAAATTGTAATATGTCAGAACCATTATGTTCAGTTTGGTCTTTTAATTAGTATCTTGAAGGATTGCAAAGAGTTGAATGTATGTTGTCATTCATCCACCCACTGAAACTGAATCATAACAGTACAATGTAGGCTGATTACTTTAACGTCCAACTTGCATTGGTTACTGTACATGATCAAAGTGATCAATCAAAATATCAATTAATACTTTTTATTTTGTGGGATCAGTGTTGCTGGCAAGTCTGTCTCTTGGTTGTCCATCACTAAATGTTTTTGAAAGGTGTTGGTGAGTTGCGGCCTTGAATTGTTGCAGAAATTATTGGCAGAGGGACACTGACATTGCTGTTAGGAAGTGAGTTTTTTGACCGAGTGGCAGTGGAGCAACAACCATAAAGTTTCAAGCCAGAATATGTGTGACTGGGACGGGAACTTGTAGGTTGTGATGTTGCATATTGTGGGTTTGGATAGTGCTCTTGAAAGAACGTTGAGTTGCTGCAGTACATCTTGGTGGTGGTAGCCCAAGTATTTTGGTGGTGGTGGAGGGAGTGAATGTTGAAGTTGATGGATGTGTGTCAACTAAATACATTGCTTGACCTGGAAGATGTCAAGCTTCTCTAGTGTTGTTGGAGCTCACTCATCAGGCACGTGGAAAGTTTCCATCACACGCTTGATTTATGATTTATAGTCGATGTACAAACTGCTGGGAGCCTCAAGGTGAGTTAATTTGCACAACAGGCTAGGTGGATTGAATTATTAAGGCATATGTGATACTTGCCTTGATTAGACAAAGCATTAAATACAAGACCAGAGGAGGAGCTGTCTCGTACATTTGTTGGGGCATGGCTGGAGTACTGCATGCATTTCTAGTTTCCACACAGAATGATGGATGTGATTGCCCTGGAGAGGGTGCAGAGGAAATTCATCAGCATGTTGCTCAGGTTGGAGAGTTTTGGCTATGAAGAGAGGTTAGATAAACTGGATAAATTGCTTTACCCTGGATTTGTGGGGGAATACCTCATTGAGGTCAAAAAAATTATTTGGGGCATAGATAAGAAGAAACTTTCCCCACAGGAGGGAACAATAACTAGGGGTCATAGCTCTAAGGTAAAGGGCAGAACTTTTAGAAAGGATTTAAGAAAGCAATTTTTCACCCATTTGATGTGGGTGTCTGAAACACTGTAATATTACATTACATTGCTGATTTGTGCCTTGTAAATGGTGGAAAGGACATCATATCTTGGATATTGACTATATGGGATTCATTGGTTGTAGCTGTTGAATGTCAAGCCAGTAGTTTGTTTCTGCCTTGTTGGAAATGGCCATTTTATGGTGCCATGATCACTTTCCACTTTTCAGTACAAACCTGAATGTTATGCATATCTTGTTGCATTTGGATATGGATAGCTTCAGCATCTAAAAGGTTGCAAATGAATGGAAGGTTACTTGAAGCAACTGAAGCTGGTTTGGCCTAGGTCACTACCCTGAGAGACTACTCCAGTAGCTTACTTGATCTGAAGTGGTTGGGCTTCCATTAATTGTGGCTCTCGTACTTTATGCCTGGTATGACTTTGACCAGTGGAAATGTTTATCCCGATTCCCATTTACTTCAGTTTTGCTGTCACCTTGATGCTATGCCAAGTTCCTGCTGCTTTGATGTTAGATGCAGATCCTCTCCCCTCACATCTGGAATTCAGCTCTTTTCTCCATGTTGGGACGAAGGTGTTAATGAGCACTGCAGTTATTGGTCTTAGCAGAACTCAAACAAACATTGGTGAGAAGGTTATTGCTGAGTAAATACCACATAATTACAACTTTCATTACTTTGTAGTCTGATGAAATGGCATTTGGTCAGATTTGTTCTTTTGTTTGAGAATAGGGCATGGCAAACTTCCCAACGTTGTCTAGATGCCTTTGCTGTATCCATGAATAGAATTGACTGAAAATTGATATATATGATAATGAGAACTTGGGTGGAGGTGGAGTTGGATCACCAACATCATATTTCCAACTAAAATTGATTGGAAAAGTTTCTGCCTCAACTTTTTGCAATAATGTATTTGTCCCTATCATTGAAGATGGGGATGTTTTTGGAGCTGTTTTGTCTTGTTGTGGTTGGTTGGCTCGCTGAGCTGGTTCGTTGTTGTTCTGCAGACGTTTCATTACCTTGCTGGGTAACATCATCAGTGCAGCCTCTGATGAAGCACCGTTGTGTTTTCCTGCCTGGTTTTTAAACTCTGGAGTCCGTTGAGCTGGATTACCTCACTTCCAGTTTTCCTTCGCAATGGAGTGTATACAGGGTCGAGTTCAATGTGTTTGTTGATGGCTTTTTGTGTGGAGGACCACGCTTCTAGGAATTCCTGCGCCTGTCTCTGCTTTGCTTGTCCCAGGATCTTTGGTGTTTTGTCTGTTTAGTTACCGGATTACCCACCACTATTCATTAGTGAGACTGGTGAGACAAAGAGCTTTGGTCTGATTCTTAATTTGCTCTATCTCCTATAGTTTTACAGCGATTTTAGTTTGGTGTTGTAGCTTCGCAAAGTTGGCATCAAATTTTTAGTTAAACCTGGTGCTGATGCTGGTATTCTCTTGCAGCTCTCATTGAGCCGTTATTGATCCCTTTACCTGATGGAAATGATAAGGTGAGGGAGATACCGAGCCATGAGGTTGCAGATTGTGGTTATATTTGATTCTGCTGCCGCTGGTTGTTCACAGTGCCTATGGATACTTTATATTTGAACTGCTAGATCTGTTCTGAATCTAACCCATTTAACATAGTGGTAACACCACGTAATATGATCAAGGATGTCCTTGGTGTAATGATGGGTCTTGGGTCTCCACAAGAATTGTGCAATGGTCGTTCCTCCCAAAACTTTCATGTACCAGTATATCTTGTTCTGGTAGCTTAGTGAGACAAGGTCAAGGATGCTGTTTTCTACTTAGCTGCTGCAGGTATTGTTGGAATGTATGTCCTCCAGGATGATGCACATGTTCATGTTGAAAATGAAAGTCAAATATATATATTAAGAGCTGTTGCAAGGGAACAATTTTTGAATATAATGTCGGCTAGAGAGTGGAAACTACTGCACTGCAACAAACGTTATTGCTGGAGCCATGTTTCCCTGAATCCCTTCAAACGGGTGTTCTTATGTTATGATATGCCATTTAACATTAATCGCTAAAAGTTCATTACAATCACACAAAGTCCAAACAAACAGTTGGCCTCTAATAGCTTTGTGCATACTGTTGGAAACTACAGCTCCCTCTCCATAGCCACCTAGGTGAGAGATATTCGAAGAAGTATTTTTTAATCAGCCCATCCTAGGGGCTGTTATGGTACAATGGTGGTGTCCCTGCCCTGGACTGAGAGAACCAGGTTCAAGCCCCACCTGCTCCAGAGGTGTGTAATAACATATTTGAATCGGTTTAATTAGAAAAATAGGTTAAATTTTTTAAAAAATCAACCCGTCGAGGGCTCTTGTAATGCAGTGGTAGTGGCCCTACCAGTGAGCCAGAATGCCCAGGTTCAAGTCCCATCTACTCCAGAGATCAGGGAAAGGGAGACTACCACTGTGCCACAAGAGCCCTTGAGATAAATTTAAATATTTTCTAATTAACCTGTTCAGAAATGTTATTATACGCCTTGAGAGCAGATGGGATTTGAATTACCACTGTGCCATGTGAGCACTTGTTTGCCTGCTTAGCTTTAATTCCTAGGTATTTAACACCAATAATATCATTGGATGCTAACAATTAATTGTAACAATTTCACAAGCCTTTCATGTATTCAGGATGACAGCAGTCAACTTGATACAAGAGCACACATCCATAGTTTTAAATCTGTTATCTGTGGTGCTCTTCCTTGTACCCTTGCAGTTGGCTATCCAAATTGTATTCATTTGTTCAATCAACTGTTCATGTACTGTTGGAATTGTACAATGTAGAAATTTGCAAAGATGAAACAATTTTAACAGTAAGTAGATAAATTGTTTCCATGTTCACTGAGGTATCCTGATGTGCATCTGTTTAAAATGTTAATTTTTGACTTATTTTTCATATTAGGCAACTGCGATGTCTGTGAATTGTCATGGCCAGCTTGCGGTACTTTCTGGGTAAGCAGTTGTTCAGGGGTGTATGGTAACTTGAGTGTAAAGCATTTGTTAGTTTCTGTTTATGAATATGTCCTCAGCCTGGTTACCTATCATCCTGCTTGTTGTAACAGGGAACGCACAGAATCGCAAGCCAATACTTCATTCTACATGGGGCAGCACGGTGGCTCAGTGATTAGCACTGCTGTCTCACAGTGCCAGGGACCTGGTTTGATTCCAGCCTTGAGCGAATGTCTGTGCGGAGTTTGCACACACTCTCTGTGTCTATGTGGGCTTCCTCTTGAGTGCTCTGGATTCCTCCCGCAGTCCAAAGATATGCAGGTTGGGTGGATTGGCTCTGCTAAATTGCCCATAGTGTCCAGGGATATGCAGACTAGATGGATTATGGGAAATGCAGGGTTAGAGGGAAAGGGTAGGAGGGTGGGTCTGGGTGAGATCCTTTCCAGAGTGTCGGTGTGGACCCGATGGTCCGAATGGTCTGCTTCCACAATGTAAGGATTCTGTAGATTGCAGACCTATAACACTCTTGTCATTGGGTCAAGTTCAATGCACAGTTTCAAGTTTGCACATATGAGGAACTGCCTAGGGAATCTGTAATTGGGCTGTGCGTATCCTTTGAACAGCAGAAGGAAAGTGCTCGTTTCATTCACTTCCTGATTTTTCCTTTGAGTAGTGTACACTGTCTAATTCAATGGCCATTTGAAACTCTGAAGCCATTTTTTACTGAGAGATTGCTAACTACTGACTGAAGTGTAAATCAGTAGTGGGAGAAAAGGATATTGATAACTTGCATCTCATTTTAGGGGACAGTATCGTCATTGCTGTTTTGCAGCTCTCCGGCTGTTTCAGACAGCTGACAATGGGAAAGCAATTTCCCAGCTTCAGTCACTCAATGTGAGAGCACAGAGAATGTGTACACTTGGAAGGATTTGTTTTTAGTGTTGTGTGGTTGGAAGTGGCCTTTTAGCACAGAAATTACCATAACACCCATCCACGTTCATTTAAAAACTCCTCATACCTGTTATTATATCAGTGTTGATTTCTCTACTTCCTGCCTTGTGCTTTGGTTGTGATTAAAAAATGAAAGCTAAATTGTACTGAACTCTGTGTGGATGTAGTGCTCTGAAACTGTTGATAAGAATTCCCCAAAATCCTTTCACCCAGTTGTGATCAGGTCAGGAATCTGCAACTGTCCTTGACTGCCTTTGCCATGCTGAAGCAACTACTTGTGGCCAAGTGACACTCCTCATCCATTTGTATCTTTACCTTATGGGAGCAGTTTGAAACTGCTGCTCATTTTTGCAATAACCAATCAGAACAATATGTGCAGAAATTAGGAGCAGCAGGCTGTGTTCCACTACTTCACAGCAATGACAGGAGATGGCAATTTGTGCTGGAAATAATTTATATTGGCTATCTAAATTTCCAACAAGAGTGGGAAGATGCTTTGAGTGTTCAGCCGCTCCACCTACAGCAGCTGTGCTCATTAGAATACTTTAGGAACAGCCTTTCATGATGGGCTCGGGAGCTGGGAGTGCGCTTGGTGGAAAAAGAACAGATTGACGTTTTCTGAATGTGGCAGTATTAGTTTGTCACTGGAAATGTTTATTTCTTCACAGGCGCCGCTTCCTATATGTTATAAATTTAGATGCTCCTTCAGAAGTACCAAGAAAGGTTGCAAGACAAAGCAAATGGGACATTGGTGTAGTGCAGTGGAACCCCCATGAGACTTCTTCCCACTATTTTGCAGCTTCGGTAAGTATTAAATTGGGTTTTGCTTATTTTAAATCCTTGTTTGTAAGAGTAAACATAAAGTTATCATAAAATGCCTTTATTGTGGTTGGTTGGCTCGCCGAGCTGGTTTGTTGTTCCGCAGATGTTTCATTACCCTGCTGGGTAACATCATCAGTGCAGCCTCCAATGATGCCTTTATCTTCGTTTTTGAGATAAAAAAGGGCTGTAAATTTTGGAAATCTCAAAATTGAAAATCAAAAACATTGAAAATAAGAATTTGTTTGAATGATTGTGAGAAAGCTTGAATAGTGTTTTTGCTAATATGTTAAATAATGTTGAGAATAAACTTCAGGATGACAGACATGATGGTGAAATGTGCAGAAGCCTGGTGGATGGAGTTCAGTGTGGATTAGTGTGGTGCATTTCAGATTAGAATGGAGAAACAATATCTGTGGAGTTGCCTATCTGAGCTCATTCTTATTTTGAACAACTTTTCATTCAACTTGTCTCACTTTCTCCACGTCAAATGGATATATGCATTGGTCCCAGTTGTACGTGTCTCTTTGTGTGGAATGTGGAGTATTCCTTGATAGTGGCAGAATCAGTGACTGTAATACCATTGAATGTCAAGGAGCAGTGATTAGATCGGCTCTTAATGGTGATGGTCATAGCCTGGCGTTTGTGTGACAGGAATGTTACTTGCCACCTGTCAGCCCAAGCCTGCATATTGTCCAAATCTGGTTGCATTTGGACATGGACTGCTTCTGGATCTGAGGAATCACAAATGGTGCTGAGCGCTGTGCAAACATTGGCGAACATCCCCATTTCTGACCTTATGATAGAGGGAAGGTCATTGATGAAGCAGCTGAAGATGTTTGGGCCTGGGACACTATCTTGAGGAACTTCTGCAGAGATGTTCTGGAGCTGAGATGACTAACCTCCAACAACCACGACTATCTTCCTATGTGTCAGGCATGACTTCAACCAGCGGAGAGTTTGCCCTCGATGCCCATTGATTCCAGTTCTGCTAGGGTTCCTTGATGCCACACCTGGTTGAATGCAGCTGTGATATCAAGGTCTGTCACTCTCACTTCACCTCTGGAAGTCAGTTCTTTTGTTCATGTTTGAACCAAAGCTGTAATGCTGCTACAATGTGGTCTCCTTTACATTGGTGAGATCAAATGCAGACTGAGTAATCATTTTCAATGGGAATGACCCTAACCAGCCATGGTAACATTTCTGTCCTGGACATTCTACCATATTCCAACAAAGCTGAACGAAGGCTGGAGGGAAACACCTCATTTTCTTCTTAGGCACTTTACAGTCTCTAGGATTCAATACTGAGTTCTACAACTTCAGAGAATGACCCATGTTCTCCACTTATCATCCTTGGCCATGTTTTGCTTGGTTCTTGTTGGATTTGCTCTCAGCAGAGTGGATCCATGTTTTCCTTTCCCTAGCTAACATACATCTTTTGTTCATAGCTGTTGCCCTTTGATCACCATTACCACGGCTTTTGTCTCTTGCTCTCAGCACACTTGCTGTCTGTTCCACATGCTCCTCATTCTCCTCTGTCACTAGCATAAAAAAACAGAATTTTCTAGCTTCTTTGTGTGCCAATAAGAGGCATATTGGACTTGAAATGTGAACTCTGCTTCTCTTTGTACATTTGCTCCCAGACCTGCTGAGTTTCATAGAATCATAGAATCCCTACAATGTGGAAACCAGTCCACACCGACCCTTGGAGCATCCCATCCAGACCCATACCCCTATAACCACCTAATCAATACACTCCTGAACACTATGGGCAATTTAGCATGGCCAATCCACTGAGCCTGCACATCTTTGGACTGTGGGAGGAAACTGGAGCACCTGGAGGAAACCCACGCAGACACAGGGAGAATGTGCAAACTCCACACAGGCAGTCGCCTGAGGATGGAATCGAACCTGGGTCCCTGGTGCTGTGAGGCAGCTAACCACTGAGCCACCGTGCTGCCCCTTCAGCACTTTTTAGAATCATAGAATCCCTACGGTGTGGAAGCAGGCCATTTGGCCCATTGAGCCCACACCAGCCCTCTGGGTGGATAACTCTTCAGACCCACTTCCCTACCCTATCTGTGTAACCCTGCATTTCCCATGGCTAATCCACTTAGCCTGCACATCCCTAAACATTGTGTCCAGAGCTGCAGATATTTGGACTGTGGGAGGAAACTGGAGTACCCAGAGGAAATCCACGCAGACACTGGGAGAACATGCAAACTCCACACAATTGCCTAAGGATGGAATTGAACCTGGTCCCTGGAGCTCTGAGGCAGCAGTGCTAACCACTGAGCCACGATGTTGCCCTAGTTTTTGGTTTGAATTCAGTAGATTGCATGACTTTGAAGTGTAGATGAGCAGAAGCGACCTGGGTGTTCACATAAGCAAATTCTTAAAGATAGCAGGGCAATGGATAAAATGACTAAAAAAAATTGTAAGGTTTACCTGTGTTTGTAAAAAGAGGACTATAATTCAAAATCATCGCCAAATTGTTGAGTTATTGTAGAAAATGTTGAGCACCACACTTGTTGAATCTTGTAAAAGTGTTAGAAATAGTGCAGAGGACGTTTGTCAGGGATGACGGAATTCAGTTATGAGGAAGGGTTAGAAAAGTTAGAATTGTCTAACTTGGAACAGACAAAGTTAAGAGGTGATATTTGAGAGATTGGAGGAGGAGAGATTTTAAGAAAAACTATCCCTTTTGGGTGGATGGAAGACGGTGTGTGGGTGGTTGACATTTAGAGTTCATGAGGGAAAAGATCAAAGTGGAGATGAAATTTTTTTTTTTACAGTTCTTGGGATCTGGAATGCTCTGCCTGGAAAGATCACAAAAGATGATTTCATACTTTTTAATGCATGAATTACACAAATCCTGAAAGATGGGTTGTGGTGGGAGGGTTAGATGTTAGTGAAACTTTGCATGGTAGCTTTATCAAAGAGCTCAATAGCTGCCTTCTGTACTGAATATTTTTGATTCTTTGTTGGGTTGTGACCCTTAATCAGTTCTGGTATTTAAATGAATTTTGGCAGTTAGGCTGTAGATGTTGTAAAGTAAAAAAAAAAAATTGCTAAATTTTTATTGGCCATGTTGAAAAGAATGTATTATTTTCTCTTTCTAAATTTTAGTAGCGGAAAGATAAAATGTATTTGGAAAGAAAATACAATTGGCGGTCCATTGTTGGGTTCACAAATAGTGGTCATGGGTAGATAATGGAAATCCAGGTAAAGATACAAATGTTTTTTGCTGATAATGTAATATACTAGATAGATATATGTGTTTACTTCTGGACTTATTTAATGTACTATTTCATTTAACATAGGGATTGTGGTACTTTTGCTATAGAATGAAGTGTAGCAGTTGCTCGGGTGTCTGATCTGTGACCTTGTATTCACTTGCCTTTTTGTTTGAAGCATTTGAGAGTGATGCCATAACTATAATTCCATTATTTCAGTCAGTCTGTCAGATTCACTGCCCCAAGATGATTTCACATTTGCTACTTTTGGTGTTGGCATACCCTCTAATGTCTTTAGGTAAAACACACATGCAAATGGATAGTTTAAATTCACCTGGTGTTTTCAAATTAAACATCAATATCAATAAGTATAAATGTTTCGGCTTTGACACTTACAGGGGGCAAAGAGTGAGAATACAATGATTCAACTGACTGAGATAGTGTGGTGATGCAGGTTCTGTTTTGCAACTATTGAGGTCATATTTGGATGTGTATTTCAGTGTAACCAGCGAGTGGACCTGTACAAATGGCATGATGGAAATGGGGAGATCCACACTTCACTACAGGGTCATACTCGTGTTATAAGGTATTTTGTATAGAATTGTATCTCAGCATAAGTAATATGAATACGTTATGATGTCTTTCTTCTCAGTATTACAAATAATATTAAATAAATAACTCAATTTGAATTGAAGCAATTACTCAAACCCAGCACCAGGTTGCACGGAGACTCTGGAAAGAGAGCAGAGCTTAGAACTCTGTTACTTACTTTCTGTTCTTTTATTCCATTCTGTCAGACTGCTTCTTGGTGTTTTTTTCTATCTTTCCCGCAACAGTCATGTCTCTCGGTTCACTGAATCCTTCTGAAAGACAAGTCACCTGAGCACCCATTTTAGGCAGTTAGTCTTCAGATTTGATAACCCTTTGTATACATCATGGTCACTTAGCCTACAACTGCCCAGCTCTTATCTATTTCATTTTTTTTGGAAAGTCATCATAAAATACGTTTGAGAGGTACTTGAATCTGTCAGCTGCTCAGTTTCTGAGAGTCACATGAGAATGAACCTTAATTATATGATTGTGAAATTGGATGACCATTGTCATATTAATGTGCCCTGTTATTTTACTAGGACTAATTACCAGGACCACTTCTTTCCATCACTCAAAGTAAGTTAGGGCTCCTCCGATTGACCAACTGATAGGGACCTTATACCTCCAATCATCTGAAACAAATTCCCGACTTGTGTACATCTTCCTTTGATGTCTCTCCACCTGATTGGACTGTAGGCACTTGGCTCCATTCTTAGCGGTCTATATCAGAGCTAGGGAATTGTCATCAATGGTTTATTTTCTGGTGTCTCCAAGAATTTTTCCTTAGACCCTCTCTATATTTCACCTACATTCTGCTCTTTGGTGCTATCAACCAAGAACGTGCCAGTCTCTACATGTGTAATGATGAGATCTATGTCACCACCACCCCTTGAATAGACATGAGCAGAAATTTCCTCTAATTACATTTTTGGGAAGACTGAACCCATAATCTTTGGTCCCTGCCACAGGGCCTGGTCCCTTACCTCCGTTTCTTCTTCATGCCAACTGTCTGAGGCTGAACCAGATTTTTGGTTTGTGGATGAGTTTTTAAACACGTAGTCCCTGCTCAGACTTTCAGACTTTGATGTCATCCATCTGCTCCCTTGCCTTCGCTCTTCTGTTCCTGAAACACTCATCCATATCTTTTCTTTATTTCCCACAATTTGGGCGTTGCTGGTCAGGCCAGCTTTTGTTGTCCATCTCTGTTGCCCTTGAGCTGGCCTGTCTGCCATTTCAGTGGGCATTTAATATTGCAATGGGCCTTGAGTCACATATCGGTCAGATTCTGTAAGGCTGATGGATTTCCTTGATGAGCTGTGTGCGTTTTTACAATAACCAGTGGTTGTCATGTTCACCATTGCTGAGACATGGTTTATATTTCAAATTTCTTAACTGAGTTAAGATTCCATCAGTAGCCAACGTGGTATCTGCACTCATGCATTAACCTGGGTCTTTGGATTCTTTATCCAGTGATGATATCAGTATGCCACTATCTTCCCTTGACTTTTAAGGTGCTTGAATTTACCCTGCCGCATTCAACTGTGTAAATTTGAGGCCAACCAAACTTGACCTCAAACTCCATTTAGCTCTGCGCTGACTGCTCTATCCTGGCTCCTGATTAAACAGTACTACAATTTTAAAATTCTCATCTTTGTTTACAGTTTTGTCTACGTCTTGACCTTTCGAATTCCAATCACCTCTAGCCCTGCAACTCCTGATATATCTGAGCTCTGTTTGCAGCCTCTTGAGCATCCTAATGTTAATCACTTCACTGTGAGTTTCATCTGCTGCCTAAACCCTAACCTCTAGAATTCCCTGCACAAACCTCTCCACCTCTTCAGTTTGCTTTCTTCTTTCCAGCCACTCATTGAAACTTTTAGGCTTTTTGCCTCAATGTTGAGTGTGACACTATGTTATATTTTCTCTGACATGGTCTCTGTGGAACATTTTGGGATGTTTTATTATGTTCAAGGTACTCCATCAATATAGGTTACTTTGCAACCTGGGTGTTCAGGTCGTGATGAGAAAGGGTTATTCTCTTAGCATGGGATGAACATAATCTGAAAATATGTGAAGCAGAGTCATGAAATGAATGATTTGCCTGCTGCCAGAAGTAGTCTGCAACTGCGCTGAATGCAATTTTGATTGAATTCTATATATTGGTTTTAAGTTACCTGCTAGGGTGCATGTAGGATTCTTCTGTTTTCTACTGCTAGAGTTTTCTATTTGATCAGTAAACATGCACATGATCAGTTAAATTTTTCTTTTCTTGCCCTTGATTTAGTGATTTGGAGTGGTCGTTCTTTGAACCGGAGCTGCTTGGGACAAGCTCTGTTGACACATACATCTATATTTGGGATATAAAGTAAGTCCAGGGCTTTGGTCTGGGGGTGTTTGGCGTGTGATAAGTGTGGATTAAAATTTACAAAAGGGTGTCAGAAAAAGGGTAAGTATTTTTCTATATCTTGTAAATTACGAGCCTATAAACTAAGGAAAAACGCTTTGCTGAATTTGGTGCAAGAGGTATTAGTGCATTCACACAACTGTACTTAGAATTCCAATTAATTCATTGTAACAAAAGCATTTCAGGGTGTTTCTGAGGGAAATCTGAACTTTTGTGTTGTAAATATTGGGTGTGCTATTAATACGTAATTGGCCTGCCCATTGGAAGTGACTAGAGGTTGGCAGGTTAAGGATCAAATTCTTATCATGTAATCCAACAACACAGAAGGAAGACATTTGACCTAAATTCTTTGAAGCAGTTTTCCAATTAGACCAACACCTCTGCTCTTTCCCAAAAACCTGCTGCTTTTAATGTTTTGGTCGTAGATATTGCTCATCTTTTTTGCTAGCTTGGAGATTGATTCAAGGTTCACCTCTGTAAATTAATTCATTACATGCTAGTATTATAAATATTCAGCATGGTGCTCAGTTACGAGTACCGCAAGGATCTGTCCTGGGTCCTCTTCTATTTGTGATTTTTGTAAATGATTTGGATGAAGGAGTGGAAGAGTGGATTATCAAGTTCGCGGACGATATGAAGGTGGGTCGCGTTGTGGATAGTGTGGAGGGCTGTTCTAGGTTACAAAGGGACAATTGATAGGATGCGGAGCTGGGCTGAGAAGTGGCAGATGGAGTTTGACCCTGAAATGTGTGAGGTGATTCATTTTGGAAGGACAAACTTGAAAGCAGAATACAGGGTTAACGGAAAGATTCTTGGCAGTGTGGAGGAGCAGAGGGATCTTGGGGTTCCTGTCCACAGTTCCCTGAAAGCTGCCACCCAGCTGGATAGAATTGTTAAGAAGGCGTATGGTGTGATAGCTTTCATTAATAGAGGGATCGAGTTCAAGAGCCGTGAAGTTATGCTCCAGCTATACAAAAGCCTGGTTCGGCCACATCTGGAGTATTGCGTCCAGTTCTGGCCGCCTCATTACAGGAAAGATGTGGAGGCATTAGAAAAGGTGCAGAGGAGATTTACCAGGATGTTGCCTGGAACGGAGGGAAGGTCTTGCGAGGAAAGGTTGAGAGAGCTAGGGCTTTTCTCTTTAGAACAACGAAAGATGAGAGGTGACTTGATAGAGGTGTACAAAATGATCAGAGGTATAGATAGAGTAGACAGCCAGAGACTTTTTCCCAGGGTGGAGGTAGCTATTACGAGGGGGCATCGTTTTAAAGTGAGTGGAGGTAGATACAGGGGATTTGTCAGAGGTAGGTTCTTTACTCAGAGAGTGGTAGGGGCGTGGACTGCATTGCCTGAGAGGGTAGTGGAGTCGGCCTCATTAGGGGCATTTAATCGGCTGTTAGATAGGCATATGGATGATAGTATAAGGTGGGGGTGGAGGTTAGATAAACCTTAGGATTAGGGTAAAAGTTTGGCACAACATTGTGGGCTGGAGGGCCTGTACTCTGCTGTACTGTTCTAGGTTCTAGTACTGTTTTACAGGTTAAATTCTATAAGAGTTGAGATCATTCTCAGTTTCTGAGATAACATTGATACATGGATGTTTGAACTGCAGTCTTAATCTGCAAGTGCGAGTTCTTTCTATGAATGGAAAAATCCTTGAAGAGTTACCCATTCTTGAGAATCTGGCTGACCTAATCAAGTTTGAACCCTGTTGTAAATGGGCTAGGCTTACTTAACTTAGTGCCATGACCACTAGCATGCATGGAAGCCTGAAATCAACAAAGCGCCAAGTAGATATTAACCCATTCACAACTTGTGATCTTCTATCCAGTGTCCTCTTGACATAACTACATTTGTTCCGTGCTGATCATCCAGAGGAAACATTTTGTGAAAGTCATTGGGCAAATGCATTTCTTAGACTCTTTGTCAGATGAGTGAGATTTGGAGTTTTTTAATTACAGTGATGAATTTTTGTATACAAGGAAAGTGAGACAATTGTTGGCATAAAATGGGAATTTGAGTTTCTTATTTGCTTTTTTTCTCTTGGAGGCTTGAACATAACATACCATCAATTTAAACTGACTTCCATATTAAGTGTTACTGAGGTTAAGTTCCCCTTACCCAGTTTATTTCCCTTTTTTAGGGACACACGGAAGCCATCAGTGTCTCTATCTGCTGTAGGTGAGTAGTGTCTGTAATTGAAATAACCAAAGTGGCAGTGAAATTTGTTAAAGTTTACAGGTTCTGTTACAACTGGAGCTCACTCTTGTTCTCTTCAAGGTTAATTTAGATCAAGTTCACTGGATTGATATTCCATGTGAGGTGAAGCTGAGATTTCACTAGATCATTTAGCATTCACAAAACTGGTGAAGGACATTGTTTACCTTGGAGCTCTTTTGCCAATTAAGAATGTGTCCTCCCCATCCTACCCCTCCCCTCCCACACCCTCTCCCCCCCCCCCCCCCCAAACAGCCCCCCCCCCCACACCCCCCTCCC